CACAGACAACCCCTCGACAATATGCGTTTTTGCATTGCATAGCTGCAAAAAACGCATAAAAAGTCAGACGCACTTACGTTTGTTTACAGACAACAGCGTTTTTATGAATATCAAACTCCCAAAGTTTTAAGTGATTTCTCATGAAATGTCGGTTAAGTGTAGAATACAGCAGCGAAAGGCTTCATCGGCCACTTGTTAATATCGATAAGTTTTTACTAGGTTAATTGTCTGGGCAGTGAGGAAAAAATCAGGGTAGTAAATTTCGTGATTCAGCTGCCAGTTTTTACGGTTCCACAGTGACAATTTCTTGTGAAAAAAAGTATGACTGGCATATAAAATTTCACAGACTGATTTTAGGTCGGATGCCGAATTCCTATGAAAGTGACCGTACTTTTGTACAGAAATCAACAAGCATCAGTTATAACACGACCAGAGTTGTGGCTGGCTGCTAAAATTTCATTTTTAATTGAACTGCGTATGGCTGCTGTTATTGGTGGTGTTGGCAGAGTTGGTGGTGGAATGAGAAGTGGCGAGTTAAGATTATAGCGTGATGATTTTCGACTGGCTGGTTGATTGGAATACACGATCGCACATATGGAACCCTTCTGGAGTGCCTCGGACGGCGGTGAATCTAGTGCCATTACCACTTGGATGCGTCTCACTGCAACTCACAAATTTCATTCCACCCTTTTTTTCATTTTTCACATTTTATATTTCATCCTCGCTTGTTTTTTTTAGCAACCTTCCTAACTGTTTTCTCCATAATGCTGCTGCGTTTCCCATTTTCTCTCTCACTCAAACCTCACGTTACACATAATGAACCTGGGCATGTACACACACATACACACACATACACACATGCGTGAATGTAAACACGCGCACACATTAATTTCGAATTATTAAAGGACAGACAAGAGAAACGCAGCAATATAAGCATTCGTAATACTAATATTACCACTCTTAAAAAAAATTACCACTCCCCCCGCAGTTGACTGTAGGGAAGGCTCAAGAAGTCTGATAATGTCTGGCGACTGCTGTAAGGCACTTTAAGCCATTAATTCACCTTCTCCAACAAAGCCGTCGTTCATCGATGGGAAGGAAGGTCAGTGAGCCAAATATTCCCTGCTGCCTGCTGAAAAGGGTTGTGAGCCATTTCTTCACCTTTGCCCATCGAAGTCATCGCCCACCACGGAAAGGAATGCCCGGTGAGCGAAATATTTTCTGGCGCCTGCTGAAATGTTCCGTGTGCCATTCGTCCTCCATCGCCCACCGAAGTGACGAAGGCTCCAGTCGCCGAGAAGTGCTGCACTTTTACGAAAGACCCACGTGGTGAAGAGTATTCTCCGCCAACCACAAGCGCTCGAAAGGGCTGCACAGCAGCTGCCAAACTGTTGGTAAGTCATTACTAGCGAAATAAATGAAATTAATACACTAAAATTTGCAAGGAAATTAATGAACATTAATATAAAGAATAGTAATGTAATGTAAATGTAAACAAGATAGAAAAGAATTGAATTAGAAAGAACTGCCAAGTTATAACTTATATTTCACACATTTTTCTGCGTTGTTCCTCATTTATGTAAATGCAACTCAGTAGAAAGCGTACCGGCTGCCGGCGCGAGGATGCGTTTTTTGCACAGTTCCCCCCGCAGGTTTTTTTCGCCAGTGGCATCCTGGCAGATGTTTCTCACTAAAAGAATTGGGACTGGCCACCACGACTGTTAGAAATCATTACAATGATTCCCAATCCATGCCCAGAAGATCCCGCGCTCTGGATGCTTCGGTTGCAGAGTTACGTCAAATTTTACGTGTTCGTACGAGAGTGGTTATGTGAATGATTCGTTCGCTTGCGGTTACTCAAACACGGCCCTGGGTAACGCTCAGAAAGTTTCAGGGCTCCAGCTGCTCTGGTTGCGGGGTTACGTCAAATTTCACATGTGCACACGTGTTCCTACGTGAGATGCAGAAGAGCTGACAAGTAATTTACTTCCACGGACACAACAGTGGGCAACAAGTAAAGCTGCAAAATAACAGCTCTCTGCAGCTTATTGATCACCTTAAATCTGGAGTTAGCATGATGTCAGTTTAAACTTTGACGTGTGCGTATGCGAGACCTGAAGGTGCGTGAAGGCTGAATTTAAAACCTTTGGATTAGACGCTGCCAAGGAACATCTCTGTGAAGTTCCAGCCTCCTAGCATGGGCCGTTCCCGAAAACGCTTTCCCACCAAAAAAATTTTCACGTGCCCCTACGTGAGAACCACGCAGACCTGAGCGTACATTTTGAGGATACGAGCCCGCACGTATGTGTAGATTAAGTCACCAAATTTTCAGTCTTTTAGCTTTTGTGGATCTCGAAATGAAAACTCGTTACAGACAAACAGACAGACAGACAGACACACAACACACACACAGGCAACTCCTCGACAATATGCGTTTTTGCAGTGCATAGCTGCATAAAACGCATAAAAACGCGCACTGACGAGAGGCTGCCAGTTTTTTGTGTATGTGTATATTGTGACTTTTGTCATCCAATTTCAGCTTAGCTATCGCTGAGCTTGGCAGCCGCTACCTCCAAAACACAGTTCTACGCCTGGTTCATACGAATTCCATAAAAAATATGCAAATTTTTTGTCGGGAAGGCGATTTCGGGATCAGGAAAGTTAGGAAGCTGAAATTTCACAGAGGCATGCTGTGCCTTTGTGTGAGCGAAAGACTTTAAACTTAGCTTGAAGCCACAAGTACGTAATGTGTACAAATAAACTAAAGTTGCGACTTCACAATAGTTGGCAATGTGCCAGTCCGAGAACTTTCCATAGCTTTACAAGACTGACTGTATGTAAATCTACACACGTAAAAAGGTCATTCACTAACCCCCGTGCCATGCGTTCGAACACGGTAAATCATTTTTGGGAGAAATGCGATTTCGAAAGGTAGCTGATATGACGAAGATTTTCTGGGGATATAACAGTGCGTAACTGGGACATTTGAAATTCGTCTTTTACACAAGCCCAGATCTCGTGTACGAGCATCTGACACTTCTAGTTGGAGCACTGTTGGCATCTATTTAACTAGCGAATTAGGGTACCTGGGCGGCTGCAGTTTTGTGAAGATATCCATTGTTCATGTTGTGAACCCATGTGCCTAAACTGGCATCTGCGACTTATTTCTTGTACTTGGATGCATCAAATCTTCCCCCCACCGCTCCGCTCCTCTCCCCGCCGAACATTTGCTAGGTTGCTGAGTTTTTACATGGTGGTTACTCGTCTCACTGTGTCACCAAATGCGTAAAATTAGTTCTCGTTCATGCCATTTCCTCGCACATATGCTGGATAGATTTCAACTACCAAATTCAGCAAACAAAACAAATTTTATTTCGGGCTGCTGCACTTTACATCACACTACGCATACGGGCTATGCTTCTCATGATTATGCAAATTTGCATTATCGTTGACAGCGTTAAGTAATACAAATAGCATTATTCATTTAACCAACTTACCTTATTTGGAAAACAGTATATCTATAGTGGCTAAAACACCATTTTTATGCATCAATGCATAATTTATGCAAAAAAAGTATTGTGATGAAGAAAGCATTAATGCGCAGAAGTTTCCGCTTTCACGTTCTCGCTCTTTCGAGTGATTTAACTCCAGTTACAAAAGCTAAAAAGATGAGGCACAGTATTCCCTAACGATGAACGAGTCCACGAAATTGTAATTAACTCGCAGTTCGTTTTGTTTCCTTATCCACCGATCCCAAATTAGATTCCAAATCAATTTCATTAACAGTGAACACCACTAAAAACTCGAAAAATCTTAAGGCTCATTTCGTATAAATTGAATAGAATTCAGTTCTCAGGCGTGCTGTAAGTAAAGCTACAACATGAAATCCATCGCTGTACAAAACGACAGGATTGTAATATGCCACTGGCTTGTTATAATCTGTTATAAAACGGCGGAAAAATTATACAGGGGTACGCCAATTGGATCGATTATGGGTTTTTTGCACAATTCTGTTCATCATGCAACTCTTTTTTAGCACTTTACTGTACAGCGAACTCGGCAGTGGAATACCAGCACATTTTCTTATGTATTTGCTTAAGGTCAACTTCCTATTCCGGCTACATCACGACTTCTGACTTCACTTCTTGCTTAACACGAAACTCCTGAATTCTCCCGCCTGGTCTATTCAACCAATCGGACCTGTAGACACAAAACAAAAATTATTTAAATTTGACATGTATCGGCAAATTTGGTTCACAGTCACTTGCAAAGAATTTGACAGAGCTAGAGGACTCATACCATGGACAACTTTTTCACTGTGAGATTGAAAATGTGTCATATACACAAACACATCTACGGACAGAATTTCATTAATACGCGTTACTATATTTGCACGAATGCGAAAAAAAAAAATGAAAGCTAACGCTGTGCCTCGAGGCCAGGAACGATCTTCATTTTGTCAATTGCTGTCGGAAAACGCCGGAAATATAGGAATGCATGACAACACGCACACATTTGCAGCGGCAGAAATGATAATGAAGTAAAGAAAAATGAATACCCTGGAAAGAAGCGCATCAATGGTAGTCGATTGCACATTCTTACATTAGGAAGCAGGGACCTCAGAATCCGAGGGCGACTGGGACAAAGGAGACCAGACACTTATGAATGTAAAGCGGCGCCAAATTACTTAAAGGAGCAGGGACGAGGGATGCGCCAAAAAAATTGTCTGAAGGCTAGAGTGAAGAGGTGTCAAATGTTCTAAAAGAGCAGTGGGTGCGAAATAGTCTTGCAGTGCAGATAGTTCCACACGGTTTGTAGGAGTAAGGGGGCGCTAAGTGACCAAAAAATTATAGGGCAAGGGCCAATGGGCAACCATTTGAACGGCCTTGGAGTGGTGCACATACATCGAACAAGGCAATGGGGGGTACTAACTGGAAGATGTGCAACTCGGATTCGAAGGTCGCAGTTCATCGGTATTTGGATACCTCCCTGTAACATCTGATTGCTCGAACGGTCATGGTAGTGTTGGCGCAGTTTGTTATGCAGTATGAGATAAATGTCCTGGAACCAACATTCAGATTTGTGATGTACTGCCTAAATTCACACAATTTTACAAACTTGGGGAAACGCAAGCTAGAAATTCGAAATTTTAGGCTTATGATTAGCAGCGCAGAAGCATGAACAGCTTTCAAACATAGTATTTCCAGGCTTGCGACCTCATGCCCAACTTCAGACTAATCTATAATTTTAGGAAATGGTGAACTGCGCAGTCAAAATTTTTGGGTATGGTGCATTGCAAAATTAAAATCGAACAGCCTGAAGTTAGATTTTAGCCTTTCCTTGCCCTGCGCCGCCACTTCATGTTTAAACACAGTCAGAAACTCCATTGGCAGATCCAGGGAGGGGGAGATGAATCTTTCGCCCCAACCTCTCCCCCTCCTTTACCCTCCTCCTCCTCCCCCGTCTCCCAGCGGCACAGGTAGCAGTGCTAAAAGCGAAGAAAACTCTCTTCGACACCCCTCGTCGCCCTTCCCCTT